ACGGCGAGCTACGGATATTTCTACTTGGGAGGCCTTAAATTTCGTCTCGGTATGATTTTTTATTAATATTGTTTATTTAATTAATAATAAACAACAAATAGTTAATTCTTTGTGTTTTAATTTTTGTTGTTAAAAGTAGAATATCTCAAATTTATTATCATACACCTTAGTACTCGACAGTTTGTTTTTTTTTTTTGTTTATTTTAATATAATTATTTACGGTAAAAATAATTTATTAATAACATTCAACTGAAATTGATATACAGTTTTATTTCATAAAATCTTTGAAATAATTATAGATTTTTGTGAGGTAAAAAAATATGAGCCAAAAGTTTTGAACGTTCAAATGAATGAAATTTTTTTTTGCAACTTCTTTAAGTACGAATTTTATTACAAAATATTGTTTTAAATATCTAAAAAGAAGTTATTTTATTTAATAACTAGGAAAATTATACGCGTGCAAGCGCGCCAAATTGAGTATTTGATTATTTGTGTTATAAAGAAATTAAAGATTAATATTATTAATAATAATTTAATTTATTAGAATATTATTACATATTAAATGATAATAATGAAAATTATATGTTTACAGGCCTCGGATTATACGACTTTTTCCGACTTTTTTCAAAAATACGACTTTTATCGACTTATTTTAATAAAATGCGACATTTTTTTTACATTTGAAAAAAATGTAAATAAAATACATTTTTTTTAGTATAAAATGTAGATCTTCTTGAGATCTTCTTCAATTCAATTATTTAACAAATTTTAAACTAAAATGATTGTTCACTAAATTAATTATTTTTAATAATTTTAATTAAATACATCACAAATTCAATTATATCAAAATTATTTTTCAATTAAAATTTGTATGAAATTTAACAATTGTTTATAATTTTAAAAAAAATATCACAATAAAATTGAATTATTTTTTAAAAATTTCAATTCAAAATAAACTAAAATTCAATTATTACCCGATATTTTAATTCAAAATCAATTAAAATTCAATAATTATCCAAAATTTTTAGAATTAAAATTTAATTATTTACCAAGTTTTCAATTTAAAATGAAATAAAATTCAATTATTTTCTAAAATTTCTATTCAAAATTAATTATCCAAATTTCTATTCAAAATTAATTATTCAAATTTTTAATCAAAAACGAACTTAAATTAAATTATTATCCAAAATTTCAATTCAAATTCAATTATTTCCCAAAATTTTCAATTCAAAATGAACTGAAATTCAATTATTTTTCAAATTTAAAATCAAATAAAATTTAATTATTCTCAAAAATTTGAATTCAAAATTAATTGAATTTTCAATAATTTGAATTTAAAAGCATCTAAAATTTAAATATAACTAAAATTTTCCATCGAAAATATTTTTTTTTTAATTTAATAATTTTAATTATAACTCTAAGGAAATTCAATTATTTTTAACTACTTTAATAATATTCTTTAAAAATTCAACTATCTGAAACCATTTTTCAATTAAAAATGATTTTCAAATTATTGTATTTTGTCCGCATTTTCTAATAAATTTTTACTGAAATCATCTAAAATTTTAATTTAAAATCACTCGAAGTTTAAATTAATTTCAAAAATCTCAATTTTAAATCTTTAAAAATTCAATTAAATTTAAAAAATGTTTTCCAAAAATTGTTTGATAAATTATTTTTAGTTCTGTAAATTTTAATAAATGTTTAAAAATTAACAATATCTTTTGAAATTTAATTATTTCTAAAAATTTCAACTTTAACCCTTCGAAAAGGATTATTATTAAAAAAAAAAAATTTTATTTAAAAATCTGTAAAATATTTTTGTTAAAATAAAAAACAAATCCACTTTTTTTTTGAATATAAATCGACTAAAACGACTTTTTGTGTCTTTAAGTTGATTCGAGGCCTGTGTTTTTATAATTAATATATTTAATAGGTATTCATTGGTCTTAAAAATTAATTTTTTTAAATAAATTTTTTTAAAATTATTATCTTGTACGAAATTTCCTGGGGCATCTTTTTTCTCATCATTCATTTTTTGTATCTTTATACAATTTTTGAATCAATATACAACTTTTAAAAAAATTTCGTTGGTAAACGTTGCGTGTACTTCAGCTTCGTGAATTGAATTTTCGAATTTGGAATTTTAAAGAAACTTATTCCGAAATTTGGAAACACAATTATACAACTTTGGCAAAAATGAGAAAAAGAATTGTCAAAATTTGACACGTCATTTAAAAAAAACACGTCAAATCAGAAAAGGCCAACTTCAAGTTAGGACAGAAGGACAGACGAAGCATTTTATTATTATATATAATTCTTTAATTTACTGTTTCATTTTACATTGTCTTGATAATTTTTAATAATTTATAGATTGAAAAAAATATTTCGCTCATTTGAAGGTTTAAAACTTTTCGATTCATAAAAAAATTCTAGAATGAATTCATTTTATTTTCGTGATAAATAGATAATACGGTCTTCGAAATCAAAACTTTCGCATTAGGATGAACTACTTCAAGACAGCGCGGCTGTGCGGTATGTGTATCCGATTAGCGTTCTTAGGGTTTAGGGTTCGATCCCCTATGCGTGCGAGATTTTTCATTTTTAGTTTTAAGTGTTATAAGTACAATATTTGTTAATATGCAATATTAATTATTAAATTAAGTATAAGTGCGAAGTAATATATTTTTTTGAAAAAATTAAATAGTTACCAGCCAGGGGTGGCCCACTACTGGCCGAGTACGACAGTCAGTACTGTTATACTGACTGTTAGTCTTGGGTCAGTACTATGCTAGTGGCAGATTTCTACTTGGGTTGTAATTAACAAGAGAAATACTTTAAATATTAAAAAAAAGTTTAATAAATGTAAAACTCTCATTAAACATTACCTATCATTTTTTGCAGCTAAAGTTCCTTTTACTCACGGGGGTCCTGAACATGTTTTAAATAATGGTAAAGAACACTTCCAATTTTCTTTTTTTGTTTGTTTCTGACACTTCTAAATAAGTTTTATAAAGAAAAATAAAAGAATCCCCTGAGCCGACTTTGAAAGAAATCTATTTTAGTCCAAAAAAAAACCCATTTTTTGGTAAAGTAGTATTACTTGTGTTAGTTACTTGTTTTAGTGTAAAATTCTATAAACTATCACGCAATATTTAAAAATAATTCTAATATATCTATATATAGTGATATTTTACACTCTCAAATTTAAAATAGATTTTTATTTTATTTTATTTTTATTTTCAAATAAGATTTTTAATTAAATAAGAAATTTAAATAGAAACTATAAATGGAAAACTTTTTGTTTCTCATAATCTGAAATTTTTTTGATATTCTTTCACTTCTTTTGGTCCAACGGGGGAAAAAAAAAGTTTCAAATCAAATGAATCGAATCAATATGTGTATGAAATATTTTTCTCGATTTAATATTTGTCGTTCGATAAATATTCGATATTGCCGGAGAAATAGTTTGAATAATTTTCTTTTTATTGCCAGCAATATAGAGGATAGTAAATGTCTCTTTGATTTCACAGCAAAAGCGTTGCAACGATCCAAGCGAAAGGAAAAGTTCGCGCACTAATGAATTTTTCAAATTTTTAATTATTTTCGATGAATCTTTTGTTAAATATAAAATCCAATGAAAATAATGCGATGTAATTTCTAAAGTTTGATTAAAAAAAAATTATTGAGATTCAAAATTAATTTTCATTGAGCAAAATTTTATCGGTATATTATTGTATATGTGAGGCATTTCATTTGAAAACGATCAGTCATGACTTAGATTTTTTAATATTTCGTTTTTTTGTATTGTTTGGGGACTTAAATAAGTGTGAAAAATTTTAATTAAAAATCTTTAGTTTTTTTCAAGTTATTTACATTAACAAATTTAAGATACTTTTTTTCCTTTTCACTATAACTTTTTCATTTTTCTTTGTACAGAAAAGTGTTTTAAATGTTTTTTCTACAAAAATTATTGAATTTTAAGAAAATGATTTTTATTTTTAATATTTTATAATTTTTATATTATTTATTTTAAAAACATTTTTTTTATTAATGTTTAAACCTGTTATCGGGCTAATTTCGATCTGAAAAAAATCATGAATATTCTTCAATATTATACAAATTACATATTAAAATTTGGTGAATGCATTATGTTTTGTTCTCGAGAAAATTTTTTTTGAAATTTACCGTGTATGGCTCTATCGGCGCGCAGCATGGAATCTAACCCAAGCGCTGACCGATGCGACCGCTAGAGCCATGCACGGTAAATTTCAAAAAAAATTTTCTGGAGAACAAAACATAATGCATTCACCAAATTTTAATATGTAATTTGTATAATATTGAAGAATATTCATGATTTTTTTTAGATCGAAATTAGCCCGATAACAGGTTTAAAAATTAATAAAATTTTTTTTTTTTTAAATAAATAATATAAAAATTATAAAATATTAAAAATAAAAATCATTTTCTTAAAATTCAATAATTTTTGTAGAAAAAACATTTAAAACACTTTTCTGTACAAAGAAAAATGAAAAAGTTATAGTGAAAAGGAAAAAAAGTATCTTAAATTTGTTAATGTAAATAACTTGAAAAAAACTTAAGATTTTTAATTAAAATTTTTCACACTTATTTAAGTCCCCAAACAATACAAAAAAACGAAATATTAAAAAAATCTAAGTCATGACTGATCGTTTTCAAATGAAATGCCTCATGTAATACACCGCACGGTATATATGTATACAAATATGTGTGTATTTAATAATAATAATAAATATTTTATAGATACTGTTAGGGAACAACCATAAATAATTTCATTAAAATAAATTTTACTCTAAATATTAACAAAATTAAATAATAGAATTTTTAGGTTAGGAATCTTGTTGACGTTGTTGACTTCATTGATAAAAGTATTAGTGCCAATCATATAAAGCAAAAATAGTTCATTTTAATGAAATAATAATATATTAATATCTATATATAATTTATATTGTGACAGATACCTGTATTCTGGTGTGGGACAAGCTTGAGAGACACAAACTAATGATGTGGATTCATCTTGAGCGACATGCACAATCCCTGAATGTTCAAGGATCACAGGAGGCATAACACCTCGATGATCTGAAAAAGTAATAATAAAAATATAGTGAGAAAAAAAGGTAAAACACTTTTTTTACATCTAATAAAATATAATAAAAATCTTTTCAAAAAAAAAAAAAACAAAACAAAACAAACAAACTGTTCTTCTTTGAAAACAATTTTTTCAAAACAAAAAAAAAACAACAAAATATTATTATTTTTGAATTAATAGAAAATTTATATTACCGTCGTGTCTCGTAACTCGAATAATTCTGAAAATTTCCCACTCTTTGACTCTTATAACTGCAATACTACAATACCACGCCTACTTTCTTGGCTTCCAGTGATGTGAATATATATTATACGTATCCTTTTTGGAGAGTAGATGTAATAAGACTGTTAGAAATATATAATTATTTTCTTAAAAATCAATTTCCCAATTTTGCTATAAAATTCTTCTTGTTTTTATTCCCAGCTATTGTTTACAAATCCATGTTTAAATATAAATAATTAAATGTAATAATGATATAGTAATATTCAATAAAACGAATAATTATTTATTTTAAAATATTATTCATGTTTTGGTCATAATATCGTACACTGTAAAAAATCTTTTTGGAGATTGTACATTCACAATTTGTATTTGTGTTAAAATTTTGTAAAATTACTATATTCAATAAGGTTATGTTACTATATTAAAAAAAGCACTTTTACAATTTTCTGTAAATTTACTACTTTCAAAGTGGGTAATAGGTGACGGATGCAACAACTAATTATGTTTCACCTATTACCCACTTTGAAAGTAGTAAATTTACAGAAAATTGTAAAAGTGCTTTTTTTTAATGTAGTAACATGACCTTATTGAATATAGTAATTTTACAAATTTTAACACAAATACAAATTGTGAATGTACAATCTCCAAAAAGATTTTTTACAGTGTAACACTGAGTGACTGAGATTTGATCTGATTTTAAGGTTATGTTTACTAATTTTAACCTCTTGATATAAGAACATAACGACAAAAAATTTTTTTTTCTAAATTAACCTGTTTGATAATAATCAATCAAAATAAATTAATTACTATATACAGTTAAATAAACGTTTGGTTGATTCAATTTAATTATTCAATTGAAATAAAATTCGATTTAAAAGATCGCGTTGACAGCGTGAACAGCTGATCATAAAAACTGCGCGATGCTTTGGTGTCGATTACATGCGCATGCGTATACGCATTTATTGGAGGTAAATAATTTTAGGTAAATGAAAAAAAATTTTGTATTGTATGAAACAAATTAATGTTAACTAAACAATACGCTTAATTAATGACAATAATTTTGTTAAATGAAACAATAACACTATAAAAAAAAAATTTTGTTTCTGTTACATCTAAATGAATTTTATGCTTTTTTTAGAATAATCCAAATTTTTATTTGAATAAACTAAAGTTTTTAATAATTTCAAACAAAATACACTGAAAAAAAATCAAATACTCGATTACTTGTTTATTATCAAATAAATATTTATTTGTATCAATTAATTAATTATTATTTGAATCAATTAAATGGTATTTGTTCAAAATACAGAAATTATTGGTTCAAATACAATTTATTTAATTCAAATATAAAAATTATTTGATACAAATAAATATTTATTTGATAATAGTCAAGTAATCGAGTATTTGAATCAAATAAATTTTTTTCAGTGTAGGTTACTTAAATTGTTTGGTTGAGTAAAATTAACTTTTTTTCTGAGTGTAACTTAAATTTTGACGTAATATTCGCTCTTTCGGCTAATAGTATTTTGACCCTGAACTATGACCTAATTTTAAGGTTATGTTTAAACCTCAGATCTAGTGGTCGCTTAACTAATTACTTGTTTATGTTCAGGACCACAATACTAACAAATCTGAAAACATAACCTCAAAATTAGGTGATAAGTAAGGTTCATGTAAACATATCTTGATAATTCATGGTCATATGTTGATAAAGAAAATTTCTTTGATTCAAAAAAATTTTCTTTGAATGAAAGAAATTTGTGCATTAAATCAAAGAAATTGTAACATTGATATAGGGTTAAAGAAACATTTATTTTAATCAAATAACAAATTTCTTTAAAACAAAGATAATTTTTTTTAAATCAAAGATAATGTGTTTAAAACAAATAAATATTCTTTGAATCAAATAAAAATTTTTCAATGAAATTGATTTCTTTGAATCAAAGAAATCTTTTTTCTCGGTGCAGGGTGATTTTTATGTTCCGGACTCCTTAAAATTTTTTTTAATAACATTTTTTCGATTTTTAAACAAAAAAAAATGTAAGTAAAAAAAATTTTTTTAAGGGGTCTGAAACATAAAAATCACCCAGTATAGTATATATAAATTTTTTGATGTATGAAAATAAATAATGTAAAAATTTATTTTTCCTAATTTAATAATTTAAAAAAAAATTATCACTTTTATATTTTGTAAATATCAAAAATAATTTAATCAGTGAAATAATATTTTTTAAAAATAATAATTTCCAAGTATTTGAAAGGTGTCGAAACAGTTATGGGATTTTATTACCTTTATACCTGTATTACGAGCTGTATGTCAACATTGAAGTACAAAGGGTAATATAAAGATCATAAACAATGCGCATGGAAAATCGCAAGTTTAAGTGAATGTATAACTTCGGAAGTGCATGCTTGATTCTTTTAATTCGCATACGAAAAAATTTCCAAGTATCAAAATTTTTTGTTTTCCTTATTTTAGTAAAACTTTTGTTCCGAGAGTGTTCGAAATTCTTAAAATCGCGATCGCTAAATTTTTGTAGAAAAAATATTTTGTTTTGTTTTGTGAAAAAGTGGTTTCAGGAGCGTTTGAAAATTTTTAATCGCGTGTGTTTATACCAAATCTTAAATATTTAAGAGAATTGTTGAGTTAGATTAATTCGAAAGATTTTAACTCAAAAAAAATAAATATATATAAAAAGTCTAAATCGAAAATAAAATTTCAAAAATCTTAATTTTTTTGTGAACAATAATTGAAATTATTTTTATTCAATTAAATAACTTAATTATTAAAAGTTAGTATAACTTCATAATTTTTTATTTAAATAACAAAAAAAAAAATTCAAAAATAAAATGGAAAAAAATTTTTTTACAAGTAATACGGTACTGAGCAAAAACTCGAGCCATTGAGAAAAGAACGCTATGCAGAAATTGACGCCTCAAATTGGGAACGCTTCGCAAGTGGTATATATTTTATCATCTCTGATTCTTCTTACTGCTTCTAAGATTGCATTTAATATTTTCCTTCTGTGTTTGAAATTTTTGAAATCGCAATCACTTAAAGAAGTATATTTCTTTATTTAAAAAATGTGATTTTCTAAGTGTTCGAAATATTTTTAATCGCGTGTGTTTTCAACAAATCGTTTTTCTACAATACATGATACATCGGTTGAAGAGTAAGGTAGGAGATCTTTCTTTTTTACAACTAATAATAATGTTTACAGTTTAATTTACAGTTTTAAAATAAAGTTGAACGTCAATATTTTAACCTCAGATCACCTGCAAGAGGTTTTGAGTATTGCCAAGCTTTTATCTTGACAATTGGCAGCAAGATAAAAAAAGTTATCGCTCAATACATAAAAACTTGAAAATCAAAGTCAAACTGTTTCAGTATTTTGTCTCGCATTTCAAAGAAAACAGACTTAAAAATCATACCAAATTTTTTTCTCATTCCTTATGACTTCCATAACAGAAATTCACTTGAATTTTTGATTTTTGTCAATTTTGTTAATAATGACAAGCTGTCCCCAATTACACTGAAATTTCAAATTTTTGGGGTAAATGGGGACAGCTCATCATTGTTAACCAAATTAACAAAAATCAATAATTCAAGTAAACTTCTGTTATAGAAGTCATAAGGAATAAGAAAAAAATTTGGTATGATTTTTAAGTCTGTTTTTTTTTCAAATGCGAGACAAAATACTGATGTAAAAAAAAATAAAAAAAATTTCAATTGGTTTAACTATTATAGGTATATCTACTACAAATTTTTTTCAAGTTTTTTCATCCCTTAATACAGTAATATAGTTAAGGAAACTTTTTTCTTAAAACTTTCTTAGAAACTATGCTGTCTCTATTTACCCCAAATTTTATGAAATTTTCTAAATTTTGGGGTAAATGGGGACAGTCAGTTTCATGGGTTTAAAGCTTATCTAAATTTTTTTCTGCTGCTTAAAATTAATCCTGGGAATATAAATAACAAAAAAAAAAAAAAAAACCCGCAAATATTACCATTTAAAGAAAGAAACTTACGTAATTTGTGAAAAATAGCGATTTTGTCCCCATTTACCCTAACTGACCCTACACGAAAAGAAAAATTGTTAAAAATATTTTAATACCCTTTCAAAAAAATGCCAATTACCTATTTTTTAGTTATTTTTATTGAAATATGATTAATACTTTTCCTTTACGTGTAGATTCAATTGTATTTTCTATCAAAATTTCATATGAAATTATTACTTATAGGTTTTTTATTCTTATTTGTATTTTGTATTTTAGATATTATTTATGTGACTTCACTTTACTTCATTGTAAAAAACCCATTATTCGGTTAAATTTTTTGAAAAGTCCTGTTAATAACATTTTTTAAGTATATAAATATTTAGTTATTATTATTGCATATCATCAAATAGATAAAAACTGATTTTATCCGCAATTTTTTAATTAATTAAAAAATTTACTCATTGCCTTTGAATTATTCCCATTTCGTTTCCGATTTTACGGCACTGGGGGTCGATTACGTAACTTTTCCACTTCCCACATCCCACTTCCCATCTTTCACATCCCACATCCCATATTTCACACCCCACTTCCCGTCTTTCCCATCCCACTTCCCATATTTCACACCCCACTTCCCATCTTTCACATACCACATCCCACGTCCCATATTTCACATTCCACATCTCACTTCCCACATTTGTGATATGTGAAAGATGCGTAGTGAGATGTGAGAAGTGGGATGTGAAATATGGGAAGTGGCATGTGATTTATGGCAAGTGGGATGTGAAATATGGGAAGTGGTATGTAAAATGTGGGAAGTGAGATGTGAAATGTTGGATGTGGGAAGTGGTATGTAAAATGTGGAAAGTGAGAAGTGGGATGTAAAATGTGGGAAGTAAGATGTGGGATGTAAAATATGGGATGTGGGAAGTGGTATGTAAAATGTGGGAAGTGGGATGTAAAATCTGGGAAGTGAGATGTGGGATGTAAAATGTAGGAAGTGAGATGTGGGATGTAAAATGTGGGAAGTGAGATGTGGGATGTAAAATGTGGGAAGTGGGATGTAAAATGTGGGAAGTAAGAAGTGGGATGTAAAATGTAGGAAGTGAGATGTGGGATGTAAACTGTGGGAAGTGAGATGTGGGATGTAAAATGTGGGAAGTGGGATGTAAAATGTGGGAAGTGAGATGTGGGATGTAAAATGTAGGAAGTGAGATGTGGGATGTAAAATGTGGGATGTGGGAAGTGGGATGTAAAATGTGGGAAGTGAGATGTAGGATGTAAAATGTAGGAAGTGAGATGTGGGATGTAAAATGTGGGATGTGGGAAGTGGGATGTAAAATGTGGGAAGTGAGATGTAGGATGTAAAATGTAGGAAGTGAGATGTGGGATGTAAAATGTGGGAAGTGAGATGTGGGATGTAAAATGTGGTAAGTGGGATGTAAAATGTGGAAGTGGGATGTAAAATGTGGGAAGTGAGATGTAGGAAGTGAGACGTGGAATGTAAAATGTAGGAAGTGAGATGTGGGATGTAAAATGTGGGAAGTGAGATGTGGGATGTAAAATGTGGGAAGTGGGATGTAAAATGTGGGAAGTGAGATGTAGGAAGTGAGACGTGGAATGTAAAATGTAGGAAGTGAGATGTGGGATGTAAAATGTGGGAAGTAAGATGTGGGATGTAAAATGTGGGAAGTGAGAAGTGGGAAAGTTACGTAATAGACCCTCTGAAAATTGATGACGCCAGGTTGTAGTGACAAGAAAAACCCATCAAAAAATTTGTTGCAGTTATGAGAAAATTCGAGTTGGGAATATTTAAATTACTAGACACGACTGTATAAGAATACTAAAAGAAAAAGTTTGATTTTTAAAATAATAAAAACAATATATTCTTACAGAAAAATTTTCTAAATTTAATGGATTTAAAAGAAATTCCGTTATTTTAAAGAATTTTTATATTATTAGCATTTATAGGTAATTAATTAATTACAAAAAAAATAATACCTGCTATTCTGACATTAGCTACGGAACTAACAACAACTTGTCTTGTGAGTCGATGCATTGTTCGACATCTGTAAGCCGGAAATTGATCACTAAACTCGAGACTATGCACCAGAAGTTCTCCCGTTGGTAGGAGATGAAATTTTCCATCTGAAAAAACAGAATTAATTAAAATCCTTTTTAAAAAAAAATATATATATATATATCAATCCAATATATATATATATATATATATATATATATAAATATGGGTCATTTCACGGGAAATTTTCATTCAAAATTTATTTGCTCTATGTAAATATTTTTTTTCGAAATCTATATGAAAAAAAATAAGTATTTTTTTATTTGCTAAAAATGAAGGAAGTTATGATTTTTTGAAATTTAACGTCGTCAAAGGCAGTGTACTTTTAAAACATTTTTTTATCTTTTATACTAATAAATAAAAAATTATGCTCTATATGAAATTTCTTCACTTTTCTCAAATTTTTCAAATATATGCTTAAAAATAACGTACCTATAACAAAAAAGTTGAAATTAAATTTAAAAAGTTAATTTTCTCAAAGATGGACACTTTCGATTTTTAATTTTTTTTGCACAGCAATCTCTGATTACTAAAGAAGTTTTTCACCTATCTGCAAAAATGTTTTTTTTTTAGTTCTTAAATTACTATTTTCAACTTTTAAGCCAGACGCAAAGGTATATAGTATGCACTTTTGAAAATTAGAAAAAACAAATGAATAATAATAGAAAAAAGTTATATATGTAGAATAACTTCTTGAAACTATGTGATGCCTACTAATAAAACTAAAAACAGTAATTAAAAAACTAAAAGTACCAGTTTTGCAAATAGGGGAAAAAATTCTTTATTCATCAGCAGATAACCATAAAAAAGTTCCCAAAAAAATTCAATTTTACTTAGGCAGACTTTTTTATTGCAAATTCTTGCATAAAATACACCTGAAAGTGTAGAAAAAAATTGACAGCCCGATCCGAGTAGAGAAACACCATTTTTATGACCATTAAAGCGATTTTCGTCAAAAAAAAATTTTCAAAAAAATTCAATTTTTCTTAGGCAGACTATTTTATTGCAATTTCTTGCACAAAATACACCTAAAAGTGTAGAAAAAAATTGACAGCCCGATCCGAGTAGAGGAACACCATTTTTATGACCATTAAAGCGATTTTCGTGAAAAAAAAATTTTCAAAAAAATTCAATTTTTCTTAGGCAGACTATTTTATTGCAATTTCTTGCACAAAATACACCTAAAAGTGTAGAAAAAAATTGACAGCCCGATCCGAGTAGAGGAACACCATTTTTATGACCATTAAAGCGATTTTCGTCAAAAAAAAATTTTCAAAAAAATTCAATTTTTCTTAGGCAGACTATTTTATTGCAATTTCTTGCACAAAATACACCTAAAAGTGTAGAAAAAAATTGACAGCCCGATCCGAGTAGAGGAACACCATTTTTATGACCATTAAAGCGATTTTCGTGAAAAAAAAATTTTCAAAAAAATTCAATTTTTCTTAGGCAGACTATTTTATTGCAATTTCTTGCACAAAATACACCTAAAAGTGTAGAAAAAAATTGACAGCCCGATCCGAGTAGAGGAACACCATTTTTATGACCATTAAAGCGATTTTCGTCAAAAAAAAATTTTCAAAAAAATTCAATTTTTCTTAGGCAGACTATTTTATTGCAATTTCTTGCACAAAATACACCTGAAAGTGTAGAAAAAAATTGACAGCCCGATCCGAGTAGAGGAACACCATTTTTATGACCATTAAAGCGATTTTCGTCAAAAAAAAAAAATTCAAGAAAATTCAATTTTTCTTAGGCAGACTATTTTATTGCAATTTCTTGCACAAAATACACCTAAAAGTGTAGAAAAAAATTGACAGCCCGATCCGAGTAGAGGAACACCATTTTTATGACCATTAAAGCGATTTTCGTCAAAAAAAAATTTTCAAAAAAATTCAATTTTTCTTAGGCAGACTATTTTATTGCAATTTCTTGCAC